CCTGAAACCAGCTTTATCCATAGCTTCTGCGATAAATGGCTCTAAGTCTTGGACTCCTTGCTCCAAAAGCAGCGACTCAGCAATGGAACCTCCCAGCTCCCAACCCTTCCTAGTGCCCACGGGCTTTCCCAAAGGGCAAGAGAACGTTTCTCCTTTTTTTTTTTTTTTTTGAAACGGTGTCTCGCCCTGTCACCCAGGCTGGAGTGCAATGGCGCAGTCTCGGCTCACTGCAACCTCTGCCTCCCTTGTTCAAGTGATTCTCCTGTCTCAGCCTCCCGAGTAGCTGGGATTACAGGTGCGCACCATCATGCTGGGCTAATTTTTGTATTTTTAGTAAAAACAGGTTTCGTCATGTTGCCCAGGCCAGTCTTATTTTTATTTTATTTTTTTGAGACGAAGTCTTGCTCTGTCACCCAGGCTGGAGTGCAGTGGTGTGAACTGGGCTCACTGCAACCTCTGTCGCCCAGGTTCAAGCTATTCTCCTACCTCAGCCTCCCGAGTAACTGGGATTACATGTGCATGCCACCACACCTGGCTAATTTTTGTGTTTTTAGTAGAGATGGGGTTTCAGCATTTTGGCCAGGCTGGTCTTGAACTCGTCACCTGGTGATCCAGCCGTCTTGGACACCCAAAGTGCTGGGATTACAGGTGTGAGCCACCAGGCCTGGCTTAGGCTGGTCTTAATGTCCTGACCTCAGGTGATCCGCCCTCCTTGGCCTCCCAAATTGCTGGGATTGCTGGTATGAGCCACAGCGCCTAGCCCATTTCTCCTTTTCATAAAACGTGTTGCCGTCTCTTTGTTCTCCGGCAACCTCCGGTGAACACCACCCGGACTGCGTGTATGTCCCAAATTACAATTATTTCTTTGCAAATGAAATGTGAGATTTAGAGGCTCTTCTCCACACTTTAAATTTGACTTGACATTTTCAAGGCAGATGTAAGTTATTAGACAATGATTCTATAAAAATGACCCTTCATGCTCTGGCCTCCATAGAAGATGCCCCGGGCCAGGTGTCCACACGGCAGGCATTTATTTTCTCGCAGATCTGGAGGCTGCAGGTCCTAGTTTGAGGGGTGGGTGGGGTTGTTTGCTCTGAGGCTGCTCCTCCTTCTGGCTGTGTCCTCTGTGGCCCTTCCTCTGTGCACCTGCACCACTGGGGTCTCTCTGCCTCCAAATATCATCTCTTTTTTTTTTTTTTTTTAAACTGAGTTTTACTCTTGTTGCCCTGGCTGGAGTGCAATGGCACAATCTTGGCTCACTGCAACCTCCACCTTCAGGGTTCAAGCGATTCTCGTGCCTCAGCCTCCTGAGTAGCTGGGAGTACAGGTATGCACCACCACGCCTGGCTAATTTTGTAGTTTTGGTAGGAAAGGGGGTTTCTCCATTTTTCTCAGGCTCGTCTCGAACTCGTGAGCTTAGGTGATCCACCCTCCCAGGCCTCCCAAAGTGCTGGGATTACAGGTATGAGCCACCGTACCTGATCTTTTTTTTTTTTTTGAGACGGAGTTTTACTCTGTTGCCCAGGTTGGAGTGCAATGGCACGATCACTGCTCACTGCAGCCTCCACCTCCCAGGTTCAAGCAATTCTCCTGCCTCATCCTCCTGAGTCGCTGGGATTACAGGCGCCCCGAACCACTCTCCACTAATTCTTGTATTTTTAAGTAGAGATGGGGTTTCACCATGTTGGCCAGGCTGATGTCGAATTCCTGACTGCCCACCTCGGCCTCCCAAAGTGCTGAGATTAAAGGCAAGAGCCACAGCACCCGGCGGACCTCCTCCTTTATGGACACCAGCCAAGTGAATTTGTGCCCACAGTAGAGGTCTCATTTAAATTAATCATCTCGGCCGGGCGTGGTGGCTCATGCCTACATGTAATCCTACCACTTTGGGAGGCCGAGGCCAGCGGATCACTTGAGGTCAGGAGTTTGAAACAAGCCTGGTCAACATGGTGAAACCCCGTCTCTACTAAAAATGCAAAAAATTATCTGGGTGTGGTAGTGGACGCCTGTAATCTCAGCTACTCGGGAGGCTGAGGCCGGAGAATCGCTGGAACCTGGAAGGCAGAGGTTGCAGTGAGCCGAGATCGCGCCATTGCACTCCAACCTGGAAGACAGAGTGAGACTGCATATAAAAAATAATAATAATAATTAATTAATTAATTTGGGTTGGGTGTGGTGGCGCACGCCTGTAATCCCAGCACTTTGCGAGGCCAAGGTGGCGGAGGTGGAGGTCAGCCTGGCCAACATGGTGAAACCCCATCTCTACTGAAATTCCAAAAGTAGTTGGGTGTGGTGGTGGACACCTGGAATCCCAGCAACTCCGGAGGCTGAGGCTTGAATCGCTTGAACCAGGGAGGCACAGGTTGCAGTGAGCTGAGATGGTGCCACTGCACTCCAGCTTGGGTGACAGAGTAAGACTCCGTCTCCAAAAAAATTAATTAATTAATTAATTAATCAATCATCTGTTGAAAAGGACCTGTCTCCAAATACAAGCACACATTGAGATAGAGGGGTTAGGGCTTCAATATACTGATTTTTGGGAGAAACAGGGCAACACGGCAACAAGCTGCAGTCATTGTGGGTGGGCCTGAGTGGGGTGTGCAGGGGTTCCTGTCCTGTGTGTCTGTCTCCCAGGGGAGTCTCAACCTGACCCTCACAGCCCCTCCACCCAGATCTTCCTTGGTGCTCCACCCAGTCCACCCTCCTGCACCCAAGAGCACCCAGCCCTCCCTCCTGCTCATGCCCCTCCTTTGTCAAATCCCTCCCAACAGTGCACCACTGGGCTAGGACACAGCCTAGGGAACGTGAAAGAGAAAGAGCCAAGAAAACTTGATCAGTGATCAAGTTGGTGTTTAAGTAAGATTTTCAATAAAAAGTAGAATTGGGTACCACATGGAGGCTTGAGATGCCCAGAGCTTTTCGAGAAAGCAGAACAGAAAGTAGAAGGGCAACCAGGAACCAGAGGGGCTAGAGAACCGGAAGCTCGGGCCCTCAGAGGAGACAGGGAGTAGGCACCTGGGTCTTGGGCCTGTCAACGAAAAGAGTCAAACTCTGTAAAATATTTGAAGAGATGTGTTCTGAGCCAAATACCAGTGACCATGGGCCATGACACAGCGCTCAGGAGGCCCTGAGAACATGTATCCAAGGTGGTAGGGGTGCGGCATGACTCCCCAGACCCCTTAGATAAGAATTTGGTTTTATATATTTTAGAGAAGCATGAGATATCAATCAAATACATTTAAGAAATACAGAAGCTGGGCGCGGTGACCCATGCCTGCAATCCCAGCACTTTGGGAGGCCGAGGCAGGTGGATCACGAGGTCAGGAGTTCAAG